ACACACACACACACACAGAGACACACACAGACACACACACACTCTCACACACACACAGAGAGACACACACACACACACACACACTCACGTCCAGAGATCATGAGGAGCTCAGATCAACACAACACTCATGAAAGCTCCAGTCAGAAACAAACTGGGTTTCACGGCCTGATCGTAGCTAATGAAATACGTTCTAAGATTTGCTAACGTTCCCATTAAGTTATAAAAACGTTACTTCTGAATGCTCTCTGAACGTCCAGTTTGCAATTCATTTTATATTGGTTGCACGAACATTAAGACAACGTTCCATTTTGCAAACACTACGGAAACGTTACTTTTGAATGTTTTCTGAACGTTCTGAAACAAGTAGCAACATTTTAAAAAACTTCAGATAAAAGTTAGACTAAAATGTTTCAGAAATAAAATGTTCCATGAATGCTGTGTAAGTAACATTTCTGTGCTACCACTTTGAGAACATTTTAAAGACTGGATGAATTATTGGAAGAATATTTGCTCGTAACTTTGAGAGAACCTGTTAGCTGGGATGCCACTGGAGAATCTCATAAACACACAACAATACACACAGGCTTTTTGAAAATCTGAGTCAATCATCTCTTTCTGTTGATTTTGGAATGGAATATGAGCTGAAGAGGCTTGAGATTCGAGTTTGAGGCCTAAAATGTGAAATTCAACTTTTAATTCTCCAGTTCTAGAAACCAAATCACTGACCTGAAGAAATCAAACAGAGAGCTTCATTCATCTGCACAGAATCATACAGAACTCACAGCCAAACCCTGATGAGAGGAGGAGCTCTGACACTAGCGTGCTTCTAAAAGCCTGTAAAGAACATTAAAGTCTGCGCATGTGGTGTGTTCTGATGGAGAAACACACACATGACCACAAAACACACACGCACATCCATCTCTGAGCTGAAGCATCTGACAGAGGAAACGAGGAAACACTCATTTCTCTTGAAACGCATCCACGTTATGCTGATGTGTGTGTGTGTGTGTGTGTGTGTGTGAGTCTGTGTGTGTGAGTGTGAAAGTGAGTGTGTGTCTGTGCGTGAGTGCGTGTGTGTGTGTGTGGAGTGTGTGCGTGTGTGTGCGTGTGTGTGTGCGTGCGAGAGTGTGTGTGTGTGTGTGTGTGTGTGTGTGTGTGTGTGTGTGTGTTTTTGAGTGT